AGGTGAGAAGAAACTAAAAGGGGCTGTTAGAGCCTAAAAGTTGACACATTTTGCCATTTTGCACAGGATCGGCAAACGGGTGTACAGAAGGAGTAAGGTTCATGATCCACAGAAGATTCAAAAACAATATAATACCATAAATTTCCGTCGTTGTTGGTCCCAAGGCCGGGTAAGAATGATAGATGGTTTGGGTCCGTCGCCAGGTTTCCAGTAAACTTTTCCATTTGCCCTTTAAAGTATTGCCACTTTCGAACGGCATGCCAAGCCGATCGTTGACTGGGTTTCCAGCGACCGCGGAGGCTGTTAGACAACTGAAATAGACTGCGAAAATTTGGTAATGAAAACATGCTTCCCGTCTTCTGGTGAGAAATTGGATATTTGCAGATGAGCTTGTTTTCTTGGAATCTTCCGAAACTGATTGCCAACAATCCTCTTGAAAGGTTCGCAGCTGAGTGGCCGGCATGTGCATAAAAATTTTTAAAACGAAATGCCCAGTGCTTTCTCGTTCTTCTGCTCATTGCGCACTGCTAATAAATGGGTAATCAGAAGAATAGAGAAGAAGTTCGCGTAACTTGAGGGTCGAGTTTACTGTACTGGTAATGGAAAATGGGAGGAAGTGCAATGGCCGCCGGCGTCCTGGATAAACTAGCCTAAACCGTTGTGATTAAAATAAACATCTGAAGACTAATCTCTCTTTTTCTTCCAGTCAATCTTTATTATGATGCTCCTCTACAGTCTGGGTCATGAGGGAAAAATTTTGATCCCAAATGCAATCCGTTAAAATTGGTTTTAGCGGACGAGTTGTTGGGTTCAGGCATCTCGACATAGTCAGGAGTGCAGTCGGGGGAAAGAGTCTATGTATAGCCGCTACTTCTAAAAATTGGGAAGTCACTACGATAATGTGGACACGTCTTGCGAATGCCTCCAGAAATGATGTCAAAACAGCCTTAACTTGCCAAAACGACCGACCGAAACCCTTGGGACAGTCAAGAATATCCTAGGGCAGGTGTCAGGTGTATTGAAGGATTTTGCTCCAAGTTCGAATTTTCCTCGAACAGGAACAGGAGCATTGGAAGCGCTGTCGATTCTTTCTGACTTCGCGATCCAAAGTGAAAAAATTTCAGCGAAGCTGACTGACTGATTACTGTCCTCTGCTAACAGATTCGTATTCACGTTTCCGCGTCCTAACTGTCAGATTTGCACGATTTTCTGTTACTCCTGCCGCAAAATATCTGTGATTTTGCATAAAAATATATTATGAGAAATTATTCATTTTGCATTGTTCGTTTTAAGAAGTTTGTCGGTGTGCTAATTTACGTGTTGTTGCGTTTGTTCACATTTTCATATCCAGGACGCGTTGTTAGAAGATGCGGAAGGAATCACACGGTCAGCTTGGCCATTTACTGTCGCAAAAGCACCCAAACCTGGCATCATGTATGCAGTTGTCGGAAACCATATTGCAACACTTTCTCATTCCTGCGAAAGGAAATCAGAATCAGAAGTTTGGCAAATGAGCACTTTCACCACAATGCTGAAGAAGTCGGCACTGTTCCTAATTTCGATGATGACATTCATGCCGAAGTAGGAAAAAATAACATTGAAAAGAACGAAACTGCTCACAACGTGAGCGGCAAAAATATACTCCACTTTTACTTTATAGTTGCTTTTGTAATCATGCCATTCATGCTTGGATGTTTGATTATGTGGGGAGCTGTATCAAAACGTTACGGATGTTTTTATTGAATGATGTATGGCCTGAAAATATCTAAAAACATGCATGATTATAGTTTCGCAAAGTTCCATTAGAATATTACAAGGTATTGTAAATAACATGACTCTCTGGCAACCACCGGAAAAGAACAGCAGCAGAGCAATGAAAAGAATGGACGCTGTGAGGCTGAGATGTTGAAATAAGCTAAGTAATTTTTCGACATGAACTGGCTAAAGTGCGTGGTTACTTTAAATATCTCTTTTTTTAATAAACGTCACAATCTACGCCATTACCAAAATCTCTGAAACAATCAGTGGCTGAGATACTCTATTAGTTCCATGAAACTTTCAGTTACATCTTACCGTTTGTCAGTCGGCCATGTAAAACCTCAGATAACTCAATAACCGATTATTCCAGTAATTTTTGGCGGTCATAAGTCGGTTCGCATATTTTTTAAACATAGGATTAAATACCGCGTCCATGCTGAAAGAAAAATCATATCTTTCGCTACTCTGCAAAACGAGCATGGTATTTTAAGCGCAAGTGACCATGGGCAATATGATCGTAGCCCAGAAGCATTAGTTGAAAAATGCCGCAAAAAGATTATCTGGAGATGGCGAATGCATTAAATAACCATGTTGGCAAAAACTCAAAACCTCAAATCTGTTGGAAAGCTGTTGAAGCTCACAGTCCACTAATTAATGTTGTCAGAGTTCATTTGTTTTAAAGCCATTCGCCAAACGGTAAACTTTAAAGTTCCAGTAATTCACTTGGAAAGGAAGTTGCCCGTTCAAGCCTACAATTTAAGAAGTCTCTTCTGGCCTCAGCACAAAATTCTTCCCACTTGACTAGTATACCTCTAGCCTCGTCCAGTAGACCAAATATATTATTGGCACGGCTTTAGAATTTCGATAAAAGTTTCATTCATCTCGCTTCTTATCACTTACATTTACTAAGGTAAATTAGTATCGACGTCTGCTTATACTTTTGAGTCGCAGAGGCATCTGAACCAGACACCGTCTAAAACATTTGCAATCTTGCTACAGCATCTGACCTTCGACTAAACATAACATTGTTTTCAACACCTTCCTGTATGCTTTATCTGCGAAGCTCATAATAGAACGCCCTGATAATTGGAGTGCCGCGCATGATCTCCTTCCTCAACCAGACTTCCCTCCTCCACTATCACGCTAGTTCTACAAACCTCCGGTGTCTACTATAGTCACTGTTGTGTGGCAAACACATATCTACGGAAAGACTAACAGCTGTTGCAAACTGTTCTTCAGGCGAGTGTTCCCTGGTTGCTCGGGGTTGAGGAATTCCTGTAACTACTCTCTACTCCAAAAATATATATCGTCTTCCTTCGGTAGAAAGACATTCTGACTTTTCTTTCAGAATACCTAGTCTGTTTCTCATTATTCTCGGAGAACGAAGATGGTCTGACAGAATATCTTGTATAACGGAGCAACACTGCGTTACGAGTTGATACTCGTCAGAGCAGCGGTCGCCCATTA